ATTGATGGACACTACCTATCTAATACTGATACCACCTGATCATTAAAAATTATATAAAGAGAACATGATACATTTTAAACAAGTTTTTAGCCTCATTGAATAGGCATAGGATAAACACTGAACTACTAAATTAAATTATTAACTATAAAATACAAAGGCTTTTAAGGGTACATTTTAATTACAAAGAATAGCATAACTAGTACTATATGTATTAATTTTTATGAGGATCAGCTGAATATCTAATAATTGTTAAAACTGTTATTCAGTGTGGTTTAAACAAGAGAGGTTTTGGTGGACATTTTATTTTAAATAAGAAGGATTTCAACTACTTTATCTTCTCTAAGGACATTTCAGTAAGAACATACACACAAAAAAAAGAAGTGCCGGCTTATAGACAGATTTCACATTAGAAGGAAGAGCTTGAAGACAAAATGGAAATAGCATGCATGCATGGTGGGATTATTTACCTGATCCTCCTATTTAATATACCAGTTGAGAACATATAAATCATTACAAGCCAACTTTTCCAAAATACGAAAATTTAGGTAGAAAAAGTGCAAACGATTTCCTGAGAGTTAATGCTAGTCAGTTAGTAGAAGTCTGATACATAGCATATAATTTTTATGTTACACTAATACAGCTTCCAAATTCTAACTACCAATAAAAAGCACCCCCCCAAAATTATCCATTAAAGAGCCGAAATAACTATTTCTACTGTTGTCTTAGTTTAAAAATAAAAAACAAATATTTCAAGTAAAAAAGTAAATGCAGGAATTTCTGGACTGCATGATTTTTAACAGATAATACAGGGCACCAAATATGAAATAAACATTCTAATATGGTAAAGAGATTTCCTGCAAATGGAATAAAATCTATAGAAGGCATTATGTACCTTAAAAACACATACACAAAAAGTTCCTGAAAACGCCTTCCTTATTGACAATTAAAATACAAAATGCCTAAATTCTAACTACAACTTTATATTTTAAACAATTTTAAAATAGCAGTGGCAGCCTCTCAAAGCAAGATTAAAGATTTCTTAGGAAGCCAACATACTAAAACCAAAAAACCAAACCTATTGCCGTCCAGTCAATTTCGATTCATAGGGACCCTACAGGACAGGGTAGAACTGCCCTATTGAATTTCCAATGCTGTAATCCTTATGGAAGCAGATTGCCACATCTTTCTCCAGAGGAGCAGTTTGTGGGTTAGAACCCGACCTTTCAGTTAGCAGCCTTTCACTTAACCCCGTGGCTGTCAGGGCTCCTGAGGCAACATACACGCTACTGTAAATTTGAAAGATTCTTACAAATTATAGCACAAAGATAAGGATTCTTAATTATTAATTATTG